ATACACCTATAAACCAAAAATGAAGAGATTTTCTATGTATAACGCCAGCAAGACAGTATTTCGGTTTCAAATCGGTTATCGGTCAAATCACGATATTTTTAAAATATTTTTTGGGATAATGATTTGCACGTATTTATAGATATATTAACCAAAAATGAACATTTTCCAAATAATATTACTACCAAATTTGGTAGATCGAATATTTAGTAAGTGGTCGGTTTTGAGCTCGCCATTCGGTCAAATCATAATATTTTCAAAATATTTTTAGGATAATGTTTAACACCTAAATATACACCTATAAACCAAAAATGAAGAGATTTTCTATGTATAACGCCAGCAAGACAGTATTTCGGTTTCAAATCGGTTATCGGTCAAATCACGATATTTTTAAAATATTTTTGGGATAATGATTTGCACGTATTTATAGATATATTAACCAAAAATGAACATTTTCCAAATAATATTACTACCAAATTTGGTAGATCGAATATTTAGTAAGTGGTCGGTTTTGAGCTCGCCATTCGGTCAAATCATAATATTTTCAAAATATTTTTTAGGATAATGTTTAACACCTAAATATACACCTATAAACCAAAAATGAAGAGATTTTCTATGTATAACGCCAGCAAGACAGTATTTCGGTTTCAAATCGGTTATCGGTCAAATCACGATATTTTTAAAATATTTTTTGGGATAATGATTTGCACGTATTTATAGATATATTAGCCAAAAATGAACATTTTCCAAATAATATTACTACCAAATTTGGTAGATCGAATATTTAGTAAGTGGTCGGTTTTGAGCTCGCCATTCGGTCAAATCATAATATTTTCAAAATATTTTTTAGGATAATGTTTAACACCTAAATATACACCTATAAACCAAATATGAAGAGATTTTCTATGTATAACGCCAGCAAGACAGTATTTCGGTTTCAAATCGGTTATCGGTCAAATCACGATATTTTTAAAATATTTTTTGGGATAATGATTTGCACGTATTTATAGATATATTAACCAAAAATGAACATTTTCCAAATAATATTACTACCAAATTTGGTAGATCGAATATTTAGTAAGTGGTCGGTTTTGAGCTCGCCATTCGGTTAAATTATAATATTTTCAAAAAATTAATTAGGATAATGCTTAACACGTTATTGTTCACGTATAAACCAAAAATAAAGAATTTTCCATGTATAACGCCAGCAAGACAGTATTTAGTCATTGGGCCGGTTTCAAATCGGTTTTCTGTCAAATCACGATATTTTTAAAATATTTTTGGGGATAATGATTTGCACGTATTTATAGATAAATAAACCAAAAAATGAACATTTTCCAAATAATATTAACACCAAATTTGGTCGATCGAATATTAGTAATTGGTCGGTTTTAAGCCCGGCATTCGGTCAAATCATAATATTTTCAAAATATTTTTTAGGATAATGTTTAACACCTAAATATACAAGTATAAACCAAAAATGAAGAGATTTTGATCAATAACACCAGCAATATGTTCCTTACAAACTTTCTACTATTTTTCGCTTCTAAACCTACTCATTAATTAATTCTCAAAGAAACCTCTATTTTTAAAAAATTTTTTTAGGTTTTTCACATGTATTTACACCCAAATACAAAAAAAGCGCTATCCAATATTTATTCTGGTTACCTAAGAATATATTTTCATATTTATGTATTTAACGCCCTCTTATGGATATAAATTTGTTAAATTTTGTAATTGAAAAATAAAATATAAGTTGTAATAAGCTAGTAAATATATTTTTTTTCCAATAAAATTAATTAAAAATAGAATTTTAAATTATTTGATATTTATTATCAATTTTTTAATTAATTAAAAATTGATTTATGTAAAATAAATAAAATGTTTTAGAAAAATTTTTTTTAAAAGATATTATATCATCAAATTATGATTAATTGCTTTTTAGCAAGACAGTTTAGCAAGACAGTATTTAGTCATACCGCTTGAAAGATGTTCTTAAACCTTTTGGTCTTGTAATAAATTGGCACTGCTATTATATTTTACTCACGTGGAAAAAAATTTAAGAATTTTCTTTAAGACTTTGTTTTAAGCCTTGTTAAGTGTTTATGATATTAGGAGGATGTTCTAAAACTTTGGGTCTAGCAATTAATTGGCACTGCTATTATATTTTGCTCCACATGGAAAAAATAAATTGTGAAAATTTTTTAAAAATTTAATTTAAGCCTAGTTAAAAGTTTTTGATAATAGAAAGATGTTCTTAAACCTTTGGGTCCTGTAATAAATTGTAACTGCTATTATATTCAACTCCATGAGGAAAAAATAATAAGGGTCTAATAATTAATTGGCACTGCCATTATATTTTACTCCACGAGGAAACATTAAATGAGAAATATTTTTTAAAATTTACCTTAGGTTAATGTTTATTTAAAAGGTTTGATACTCGAAAGATGTTCTTAAACCTTTGGGTCTTCTAATAAATTAGCACTGCTATTATATTTTATTCCTCAAGGAAAATTAAATTGTTAATCTTTTTTCAGACGTTGTTATAAACCTAGTTAAATGTTTGTGATATTAGAAATAATGTTCTAAAATCTTTGGATCTAACAATTAATTGGCAGTGTCATTATATTTTTCTCCACAAAGAAAAAATAATTTGTAAATTTTTTTTAAAATTTATCTTAAGTCTAGCAGGCCGACCCAGCAAGTCGACCCAGAAAATCGACCCAGCTGGCCGACTCACAAATTGACCCAGTGCCGAAAGTCGACCCAGTAAGCCAATCCGGGTCGACTTAACAGGCCCAATGGGTCGGGCTGGGTCGTGGTCAATTTTTCGATCCTGGCTCAGGGTTGGGCCAATTTTTACGACATCGACTCGGACTCTTGGTCGAAAAAAACCAATTATTTAATAACACTAGTATACACTCCTCCTATTCTCAAATACTTGGGGACAAAACTCAGGACATGAATGGTTTGAAGCTCTTCTTAATGCTAACCTTAGTCTTTTGATATCACATGAGGAGCTGAGGGTAGTATTGCTAAAAACCTATTTTGGGTCCATTTAAAAAACGGCCCGATTATGATTTTTGCCAAAATAATATTATGCAAACCTTAAGATTTGTCAAATAGATGTCTAACTCTAGCGAGGGTTAGGATGGGGTATGGATTAGGCTTCATAAATGTAAAGGGTGTGGGATAGAATCCGATTATATGTTCAAATATGGTCAGCCTTGTTTATATTTTAAAGGACGATTTAGTGGCCACAGAACTACTAACTTTATAATCTTTAATAAATTAGGTTTGGTTGACAACTTGTTTAATGGAACCCGTTTCCAGTTCCGCGCCTGATTGAAAAAAATCATATGGCCTTATAGAAATATTCCTTGGTTTAGATGAAACACCTTATTTGGAATTTCACTTGTGTCTCTCAGTTGACCTGATTATCTCATTCGAAAAATGAAGAAGGCTATTAAGATTATAGGTAAAATAATACAAATGAATGGGAATCGTGTATAGAGATGCTAAATGGGCGGGTAGGTGGGCGAGCAAAAAAATTTTAAGAACGGGCGGGCTAGTTAAAAAAAAATTTAAACTATTGGCGGGGGGGGGGGGGTGGGATTAAGAAATTTAAGCAATGGGCGGGTGTGCTAAAAAAATTAAAAATCATTTAAGTAAATATTAATCAAAAATGGTTCTTATGAACTTTTTGAATATTAAATATTAAAATGTACCTTTTTGGTATCATAAATTCTTTTTCGTATATTTAAAAATACTTTAATGGAAACAACAAGAAGAGATTTGCCAAAGCTATCAAGATTAGCAAGAAAAATATTGTCAATTCCTGCAACTAGTTCTTCTTCTAGCATTGCTGGAATTTAGAACAAAGAAGAACGTGTTTGAATCCATAAAAAGGTTGATTCATTATTATTTTTGCATTATAATTACATATAATATCAATTTAATATTTTTATTTTTTCATAAGTATTTTATTTGATAAAATTAATTATCCATAATTTAAATTGAATATTTTTGTATGCATAATATAGTAATTTTCATAATTTTAAAACTTCTTATAGAGGCTTAAAAAATTGAAAGAATGGCCATAATTAAATTTTATAATAGCGGGCTTGGGGGGCAGGTGAGGAATTTTAGACTAATGGGCGGGCGGGTATATTATTTTTTGAAAACTATGGGCGGATTGGGTGGGCAGGTTATTAAATATTGGGTGGGCTCAAAAATCCGCCCAATGCAGACCTCTAATAGTGTATACTCTTATAAAATCTTATAATTATTCCCCGAGGCTATTATCCTAGTTTGATCGAATCTCAATGAGATTTCTTTTGTTTTTTTAAAATTTATTGTATCCCCCTGTTATGTATTTATTATAGAATATTCTATTCACATATATTATAACTTTTGTAATTATCTAATAAATATAGTTCAATATCTTTATTACTCCATGTACTAACCCCCCCCCCCCCCGCTTTATATGTTTTTTAAAATATGTTTTTTAAAAATATGTCTTTTAAATTGTTTTAAATAGTTTAGATGTTTTTCATATTTTAATATTCATTACATATGTTGTTATTTTTAATTGTTAAATATATATTACAAAAAAATATAATTTAAAATTGCGTTGTTTTTTTAATATTAAAATATAAAAATTTGAATGGTTATTATAAATGTTAAGAAAAAAAAGTCACTATATTCAGAAATTATTTAAAAAAAATTATCATTTAATTTTATATTGATATCAATATTAAAATATTATTCCATATTACATAACGATTAGATAACGATTAATTGAAAACAAATGAATGATGTATGTGTAAACCAATTTAAGCAGTAATAATATTCGATTTTTCCAAAGCCAAAATATATTAATAATTTATCTCTTTAGGGAATTATACAACATATAACAGGTGAAATAATATCATGATAAAAATAGAACTGTAAATACTACATATATTGTGCATATTTATTTTTATTTTATATAAAGCTATTTTCAGACAGGTACGGTTTTAGTAATAGCTATTTTATCAATGATGAAAACTTTATAATCTATCCCCTTTGACCTCATTTGCAAACAAGTGATGTCTCAATTCCAAAGTTCGCAACATCATGCCAAAGACAATAAACATAGAGTAATATTGTTATTACATAATAGTTTTAAGCTTTTTTAGAAAAAAGAGATGGTTTCTCTGTATGGCATATCCGATGAACATCTAGTCAACCTCCCGGTTAAAGATTTAAACAGACTTTTAAAAGGGATGTCTAAAAGCGAAATGTTTAAGTTAAAACAGCGTAGGAGAACATTGAAAAATAGGGGATATGCGGCTAGCTGCCGCACAAAACGAGTCAGTGTTAAGGAATCATTGGAAGGTAACAAAACAGGCTTAGAAAAAGAAGTATGACTTTTTTTTCATAATTTTATTAAAATTTGAATTAAACAGAAATATCAATACTTATGATATACATAATCAGCAATATTATTTTTATTTAATGTAATTTTTATGATTCATTAATAATATTGATTTTATCATATTTTAAATGATTACAACAAAACATATTAGTATAATTGAATCTAATGTTTTACTAATATCTTAACTAATCACTGATCTATTTTATTATAAATTATATTTTAAATTATTATCATTTTCTTTCAGGTTGAACAAATTAGACAACACAATTCTATTCTGAAAGAAGAATTAAAGGCTATTAAAATGAAGTATGTAACTTTGAAAAAATTTTCACAAGAAAATAAAGTTATATCTTTTGTCAAAGTGGAAAAGAAGCCTTAATTTATATATTATGGCAAACCATTTAGTTTAAAAATTTGTATTAAATTATATTTTATAATATTTATTATAATATTTATTGACAAATTTTTAAAATATTATGCATTAAAGATGAATCTCATTTTTATTTTATAGATATAATACATTACTTTGTTAAAGACTAATTTTAAAAGTAGCAATTCACCCAAATGATAAGCCCCTTAAAAAGGATAGAGTAAAAGTTGGCATGACCCAAAAAACCCCACTCATGGGCTGGGGAAAAAGATTTTTATAGCTGGTTAAAATTGTTCAAAATATTTTACAAGTTGGCTGAAGCTTATATTGAGCATTTTCCTTCATTAAAAATCAGTTTGAAAATTAAAATAATTAGTAAAATCTTATTTTTTTTTAAAAATGACTTTACCAAAAAATGCTAATGTTGTAAATATTAGAGGTTGGCATGGACTGTCCAGTGTAAGGTTTGGATATTAAAACCTTTTTGGGAGCTTGGGCTGGACTGTAAGAGGTATCCTAAATAATTATTTTAATTCATAATGTAATGAAAAAGCAGAAAAAAATTATTATGTTATAAAGAAAGAGCATTTTCAGTAGCTGATGATAGGGCCTTTGACTCATTTAAAGCATGATATCTTTATAATATGTTCATTATATCATGTATTTTTATATGATCATAATTTTTGAATACGATTATATTATAACTTTTTTATTATTTAAGCTGAATAAAATGTATGTTTTGAATTTAAATAAAATGCAACTTAATATAAATATTGATTACGATTAGATTATGGTGGCCAAATAAACTTTTATTTCAGGTAATACACATAATTTTAAATTATTTTTTGGATATTATAATATTCAAACTCAAAAAATTTAAGCTTGGGTTGGGCTCTGAATTTTTTTTTATAATTTAGCCTTAAGTCGTGCTCAGGCCACAAAAAAATCACTTTGCAGACTTCTAGTAAACTTTACTTCAAAAAATAAATGTTATGATTGAAAAAGTAATATGTTACTCCCTTGTGAAACAGTGTTACTGGCTATTCAAAAAAGTAACTTGTTACTTCAAAAATATTATATATAAATTTTCATTTTATTGATTTTTTTCTCCATAGATAATAAAAATAAAGTTACTCAAAAATAATATATTGGTTCGTTTTGTAATCATTTTTTATTTATTTTTAATAACAATTGATTTTCAAAATTTTGATCAGATAAATAAGAGCACTTAGTTGACAACACAGCTTTCGCTGTGCAATATGTGCAACTGGTGCGGAGGATGAGAAGTTTATATTATGTTTAAACCTGTGCACCACCACGCTAATATGCTACCATTGATTCCTGACCATGCTGACGCCGCCCCCAAAAAGTGTAGGCGCTCAACATGCCACCATCGATGTAAAAAATCGGCGATAGTGGCCAGGCCGTATTTTAATTTTTTAAATCACAATTATTAATATAAAAATTAAAAATAAAATAAGGGACCTCTGCAAGTCTCTGATTTATATATTATTTATGAATTATAATAAAAAAAATAATATTAATGTGGTTTATTCCTTCATAGAAAGTGATTTAAATCGTTAAAAAAAAATTTAAATTATATGAAATACAAACAAAATATTTCGCCTACTATAAGAATATATTCTTACAATAAATTTATATAAATATAATGAAAAGCCAATAGACATTATAAAAAATTTAAAATAAGTCGAAATGGGCAAAATATTTTTTAAAGTTGTTAAAGGATCGCTACCAAAGAAATAACAATTCTGGATTCGATCCCAATTTCCCGGACCTATAATTATTTTAAAAAACGAGGATCCTGATCGAGATGTTAATAAAAGATTCTTCATTACTTTTAAATAAAATAAAATTTTTCTATTTTTTTTTCAACTTTAAAATGCATAAATATAAGGTTTCTAAATATTTATATGAAAAATTCACAATCCATATAACATTCCTAAAATATAACAAGCTTTCATAAATAAATAGATGGTACAAAATTTAGTGAAAATATTATTTGTATGCTTTTATGATTATAATTTTTCTCTTAAAATATACTTAATTACAATTTTATATTATAAATAAATAGCTATTGCACCAACCATAAATGTTCCTACCTACCAGAAACCTGCAGACCCGGGCCCGTATTTTAATTTTTTTAAATTTACCCGGGCCGGGCCTAAAAATTTTTTTAGGAAAAAAATCCGGGCCGTACAAATAGTACCTCTGCAAGTAACTGCTATATACTAAAATGTATTATAATCGACTATATTCGTTCATTAAAAACATTTTTATAATCTTTTAAATAATTTGAGATAGATTAATATTTTTGTAATTGTAAAAAAAGATAAGGAAACTCTTGTAGAATTCATCAGAGAAACCAGAGATATTTTATTCTAAATTTTGGTGTATCGCAACTGATGGCAATATCCTTTAATGGTACTCTTTTTTTCTTTTAAATAAATTAAAACATAAAAATTCACTAATAATCAAAATTAATTTTTACAATTTCTTATAAATATAATCAAGCAGCTCTTTTGGAATCAATACTTCTGTTAAAATAAATCATATTCAATATATGTAAAAAAAAATAGAAACTACAACAAATATCACGAAATTTTTTTATAACAAAATGATTTTTGTACAAAAAATACAGATAATTTTATTTTACATTTGCATAAAAAACATTTTTTAAAATATATAATAAATAAAAGAAATATAATAAAAATCCTTTATTAATACTAATTTATAATGAAATATTTATATAATTAATAAATAAATCAGTATAATTAATATTTTTGGATGATGTAGTAATGGCGTCTTCGTCTCAAGAAAAGGCCTTCATGGAGTTCACCAGTGAGTTTGCGAATACAAACTAATTCCTTAAAAAACGATAAAGTTAAGTTTCCCGAAGGTTGTTAGGGTAGGGGAAATAATAGGGATGATTATGTGGTCATGCGAAATTTCAAACAAGAATACTCAAGGTTTGATTGGAGGGGGCTAATGAGTCTATACAAGGGTAGTCCTAGATAAATTTGCTATTTTTTATTGGAGAATCTCATCAGGAATTTTTCATCTGATCTAAAAAGACTTGGAGGTTCTAAAATGGGCGATATTTGAGCAGAGCTCAATGAAGTTACATAAAACATGTCTAAATCTAATCATCGACCTTTACAAGAGAGGCAATGAATACTATTCGTAAATTTCCCTCAACCCTAGAACTGTAGCCAGAGAGCTCTCAAATAGTTTAAACAATTTCCTATGGCATAGGTGAGTTTATTTTGGTTGATATATAGATACAAATTGACCGAGGCATAAGAATTTTGCTAAGAGGAAGGAGAAGCACTATTAGGTGGGGTTTCTTCCATAAATATTATTAAAGCTTTAGGGCCCACTTATTTTCGGCCTTTGGCTTTGTTAGATTGTTATAAAAATAGTTTTTGTTTTCACTTTTTTTTAAATAAAAATGCCTTTTTTAAAAATTTTAGTTATAGTCGTTATTTTAAAAAATTGACTAAGTTCATGTTTATAGTGATATATTCCATACACTTTAGAGTAGAGGGGGATGGGCGAATGTGTAGGGAGAAATTTTTCATTACTTAAAATGAAATTTAGCAGAACAGGTAAATTGATGGGGTGGTGATTTCCCCTTGCATCCCCCCTTCCTACGTCTATATGTCATATTTAAATTAATTTATTGATTTCTGTAACCATAGCATTGAATCAAAACAGAATTATAAGGAAGTTTAATATTGAATAATTATATTGTATATTTACTAGTTCCTTGGTTATATGAGATGAGGGAGTCAAGGCAAGGACTTCTACTACCAAGAGAGGAAGGGGGATTTGATACAAGATCATATTTAATATTAGAGGAGGATGGGTAATTGAGACACTATAGTTATTTAATAAAATCTGAGCGAGTATTTTGATTTGGATTCCCCCTTTTATGCTATTAATTTTGATTTTTTCATTTTGCTAATTTTTTGATATAATAGGGGGGTCGTAGGGAATAAAACTTATGGAAAATAGAGGGTCAAATTATTTTAGAGATGGGTAGGAAGTAAATTCTTCGTGAAAGGAGATTGTCATTGGCTTCGGGGGGAGGGTGTAGTAGTCCCTGGTTCAGGATAAACTCTTCAATTCGTTGTTCACAAATTGATATCATTGGTTTCATACCCAACAGCAATGAAAGAATTATGTGTGACCCAGAAATAAGAATGATGAGATGTAAAAACCAACCTGTTGTAATTGTTAAACCAAATTACAAAGCCGAAGGATATTCAAATCTACTCAAGAAAAAAGAATTAAATTTCGAATGCAAATGATTTAAAGAAAGAGGAATAAAAAGGAATGATTATTCAAATTAAAGTTCAAGATTTTTTCAGTTTGTTTGTAAAACATTATGTAAATGAAATATAGAAAAGTATATATATATTCGAGGATATTTGTATAAACAGAGATCATGATTTTACGAACTTAATTATAATTTTTAATTTTAATTTTTTTATATTATTTTAATTTTTTTTAATTAATTTAGTTTGATTATATTTTTAACTTATTATTTAATAAAGAGTTAGTATCATGTTATTTTAACCTTTCTTTATTTGACAACGATTTTAATCTCTCAATGCTTTCAAAACTCTCAAAATGTTACAATGATGTTGGAGAGTGGAGGCGACAGGGCAATTTCAACAATTCAGTCTAATTAACTCTCCCACTAGCCTCAGCAATATAAATATCAATACCATATTGATACAGAGGTGCCTTACAGCGATTGATCCAGGCTTTAGAAGATCAAAAGTCAGTCTAATTAACTCTGAAAAGAGATTCTAAATAAAGGGGGAAGGGGATGTATGAGATGACTATCGACACTAAGACAAAGAATGAGAGCAATAAAACAATGGTATCAATATTAATGGTCGTATTTCGGAGAATTAGTCGTTTAGCTAAAAAGAATGCGTCACAAGAGATCGTTATACGTACAAGTGATCGATGTAGCTAAAACAATTTCGTTATAAATTTTTATTAAAGATATACGGTTGACGGTTATTTAAGTTGATAATATTTAGCAAAATATCAGGTTGTTGATTAACCAAAAAATCTTCATAAAGAGAAACGGCTTTTCGTCATTAGAAAATATATGCCGCAATCGAGCTCAATTAGAGATCGGATTTTATCAAAAGATACAAGAAATCATTATCGTATAAGAGATCTTAAGGCAAAGTGGATATATTGACAAGAAACCAGGATGCTATCGTTAATCGTTGACAAATTATAGCAAATTGCTTATCAAAAATTTAGTATAAGATAAAAAATCGAACAAGAAGTCGTGGAAACCATCGTTAGTGGTTTACCGTCATTAGTTACTAGAAACCGTTAGAAACAAGCAAAGACTAGGATAATGTGGGAGTAAAACGAGATATAATTAAAGGAGCTAGAAGAATGTATCGGGAACCATGCCTTACTCGCAGAATGGTGGGACTAATCTAAGTGGAAGGGTGTTGTAATTGTTAAACCAAATTACAAAGCCGAAGGATATTCAAATCTACTCAAGAAAAAAGAATTAAATTTCGAATGCAAATGATTTAAAGAAAGAGGAATAAAAAAGAATGATTATTCAAATTAAAGTTCAAGATTTTTTCAGTTTGTTTGTAAAACATTATGTAAATGAAATATAGAAAAGTATATATATATTCGAGGATATTTGTATAAACAGAGATCATGATTTTACGAACTTAATTATAATTTT